TCTCGCCCAGCCCGATGCCCAGGGCTGCCATCTCCAACGCGCCATCGCTCCGAGCGTTGGGCTTCCCAGGGATTCAGCTGCAGCAAAGGCGGATTTACCACCAAAATCAAACCTACAGAAACCATTTGGCTTCGGAAGGTTTAGAGTTGTTGTTTAATCCCAAGACAGCGCAGCTGAATGAGTTTAGAATTTAAGTTACAAAAAACAAAAACACTAGAAAACAATCTTGATACAAGAGCAATAATCAGCTGAGGTTCCCCACCCTGCACAGGGAATCCTGCTCCACAATCCGCCCAGCACAGCTGGGATGCTGCCAAGGCATTGCTTGTTCCCAGCACACGCCGGGATGGCAAACTGTCCTGGGTGAAAGGTGTGTGGGGGGAATCCCCAGAAGTGGGAGTTAAGATGCTGCCACCAGTTCTGGTTTTGGCCTGTTCTTGATGGGTGAGGCTTCTGTGGAAGGAAAAGAAACTCGTTACAGAAACAGAGAATGCAAATAATCTCCAGTTCACTCCTGCGGAAGAACCAGGACTCACAATCCACTCCTCCGTACAGCAACAAACGCTTGCACAGCACATGAACTAGCAAAAGTTCATTATATGTAACTCTGCATATCCAGTACAGGCCGCTTTTTCACAGCACGTGAAGAACTGAAAGAGCTTCAGAACCTAACCACCACACCTCTGGCAGCCCCCAGCCCAGCGACACAGATCCAGGGCAGCGAGCGACTTCTCGGAGGGCAGCGGGTGGCCAAGCTCCTTCCCTCGCCCTTCGATCTGAGCACCCGAGTCTGAGCGAGGTGCAGGCAGCCGCACGCGGCCAGGGCAGCTCCTGTTCCGTTTGGCCACCCTGCTCCCAGCGCACGGAGTTGACATCTGATCCACGCTTACTAGCAAACAAGCACTGAAATGAAACCAGCCCCATCTCCCACTTCCCAGATTTCTCCTGGGCAGATTCCAACGCAGAGGAGATGGCTTCTTATGGGTCCTGGTTTCCACAAGCAGGCACACCCAGCTTCTGCGACCAGCAGTTCGGTGCTCTGCTGGCCCAGGGGACAGACTCTTCACCCGTTTGCCTCCCGGCACCCCGCGGAGGGCAGCTCTAGCTCGCTGTTTGTCTCCAAGAGCAGGCTGCACCTTCGGCTCTTCAGCGCAGACAGGCACCAGGCAGCTCTGCGAGTGCTCCTTCCTCACCAGGCCTGCAGCGCCCGTTCGGTCGCTCTGCTCCTCGAGCTCTCTCCCACCCCCCTCTTCGCACTCAGCTGCACGAAAACCAGCTGAGGTTTGGATCGCTCGGGAGCAACCAGCCACGTAGCATCAGTTGTGCGGAGCTCACACTCTGACACTGCTGGAACTGTGGGACGCCAGCGATCCTCATCCAGCTGGCTCAAAATTACCGCTGCCACCTGAAGCAAGGTCACAAGAGCTACGAGTTGTCGCAAACCTCAGCAAAATCCAGTTTTGTGCAGTGTGAACGCCAGTGCCTGTGGTCACAAAAATTGTTCCTGCGTAGCGGCACGTTGCGACGATGCGCAGGGGACCAGCTTGAGGGTTGTCCAAGAGGGCCTTGCCTGGGTCAAGCACAGAGCCAAGGACGGAGCTCCTTGGGGAGCTTCACAGCAGAACACACACAGGGTGCTTCAGGGCAGCTGGCAGCCTCCCAGCAGGTACTGAGTGTGACAACAACAGCTGCAGCAAAGAGGAACTCTGCGAGGAACGACTTGGCGCCGGCTGAACAAATCAACTAGAGCCTTGGGTCCTCTTACGGTAACGGGTCAGGTGGATTCGCGAGGGAAGCTGGCACAGCCCAGACCAACAGGGCCTTAAGCAAGAGCATTTACCTTCCTTCCCATTTGCTAGGACAATGCTTACAATAGCAGAGGGTCTCAGACTACTGCATGGAACTGAGAAGACGTATGAGAAGCCAAAGCTGCGGCGCATACAGAGCAAACGTACCTGGGACCTTTTCTGGGAGTGGCTCAGAAGGAACTTCTGGAAGCTCCATTTGTTCCTGCAAGAACATTAAAGGTGACACATGACACCGACCCCAGAGGCCAGGCGGCCGTCACAGGCCCTCGCACCACGGTTTTGTGCAAAGACTGTCCGGGAACAGAGTAATGACGTAAGGAATCTTGCAGACAGACTGACACCTGCCCCTATGGGCTTCAGCCCTGCCCAGTATGTGACCACAAGGCTTTTTTATCTATTATTATATGAGACTTAACAAAACCCTGCCTTAGCTGTGACTCTGCTCACACCAGTGCTACTCACAGACCCTCTCCACCTCAGTCTCCACTGGCTGCACCTTCCCCAGCGCAGAGCCAAGCCCAGGCAGTGTTTGGAGGAGCCCCAGGCATGGCAGGGAGGGGTGGGGATGGGAATGTGCACTGACTTCTGCCACCTGAGCATGACCCGGGGCTTTCAGGATCTTCACCTGGGGAAGCAGAACAGCCAGCCAGCAAGAATAGAGATCAGCTGGCTGTAACGGACAGCAAACGAAGTACAGCCCTTCACAGCATCCCATTTTTAAACAGCCCCTCTGTACGGGGCAATTAGCTTGATCTTTGGTGACACAATAACTGGGCACAAACAGGTATAACTGAGATCGCTGGTAGAATAGGATAAGCTGTCAAGAGTGAGGGAAAAGGTACTGTTTCCTCCATCACAAACAGCTTTCTAAAAATGTGGATTAAAAGTAATTACAAGAACATCAGTCATACCTGAGTAATAGCATTTAATTCTTCTAGAATGGCATCTTCATCTTCCTCCGTCAGGCTGCCTGCCAGAATCTCATCTATTTGCTACGAAAGAGAGGAGAAGGCGTATTCCAGTCAACAGCAGCGCAGCAGGAGCAGCTCTGTGGCTTGTGGCATGGCACACACACACAGGAGAGCAACGTAAACACAGGGCGAAGGGGTACTTAGAAAACTAACAAAGCCAATTTTCTGCAGGCCACAGATTTCATTCCCACCCGATGGCCTGGGAAATACGGCTGGGAACACAGAGTTTCACTGAGGTGTGCTGCATGGCAGGCACTCTCTGCTCACAACTACTCACGCACACAGCACGTACCCTCTGGTACTCCACAGCCTCTTGGGTTTCATCCATTATTCTTTCGACTTCTTCTATCGACATAACCTGGAAAGAAGAGCCAAAACCCGCGGGTGAGCGAGGCCTGCAGGCAGACAGCCACAAGCACCCAGGCCTCTGCCCAGCCCGAGGCGGGAGTGTGCGCAGCTGACTCGCTCACAGGTACCTGGTGCATTTTGTTCAGACATTCGTTGCCTATTTTCAGGCCCTCGATGACCTTCATTTCAATCTGGGTGAATTCAATATCCTGGACCTGAAATAGAACGGAGCAGGGGAAACATCACAGGCTGCCCCGTTCCCATCCTCAGCCAGACAGAGACTGCCAAGCTCCCCACAGAAGCTCAAGAGCCCTTTCTCTGGGGCAGAGCATTAAATTATACCAGCAGTGAGAACCACACACACAGCACAAAGTGCTGCAAAGGCCCATCCAACAGCCCTTTAACTGATCTCCTGGCTGACAGGCTAAGCCGAGGCCACACTGCCCACAGCCACCCCAGAACAAACACTGCCATTTCTGAAATCAGGGTGCTGAGACAAGCCTGGGGAATTTTCTGCTGCAGCTGTCCACACCATGACTACAGCCTTACTAATTCACAAAAGATGTGTTTAATATGTAACCTGCACTACAGGCTCCTGACATACTCACCACCTGGCTCTTTAGGGAGCAGTCATGGCCCACGTACGATTCAGAGACGTCTGCTCGTTGGACAGAGGGCAAAATGCAATTCCACACAACCAAGGGGATTCCAGAAACACCCACTCCAGAAAAAGAGACTTACACCACGCACGCAGCGGGCCACTCGCAGCCCACAGCAACCGACTCGCGCTTACCATCCGCTCCAAGTTGCTGATTTGGTTTTCCGTTTTATCTAGGAGTTGCTCTTGGTAACGCTTCTTCTTCAGCAAGAGCATGGCTTTTCTGCAGGAAAACAGGAGGAGGAAAACTCAGCACAGATGAAAGCAAATAAGCCTAAAAGAATGACATCAAAGACGTATTTGTTTCGTGCTTCCTCCCAAAAGAAGAAAAAACTACACGCAAGTTAAATGACAGCTCTGAAATGCTCCTGTGAAGAATAAGGACGAGCAAAACAACCACAGATCTGCTCTCTGGTCCAAGCCCTTGTGCGACAGCCTCACGGCACACCCCGGAGCGAGGGGGCAGAGACGGCCGCC